AAAGCCATATGATAGTAGAGTATTAACGCTCAAGTGCAGAAAGAAAATAACTTCACTCAAAATTCTATATCTAGCTGAAACATTTTTTTGAACAAGGGAAAAATATCTTTCAAGAAAAAAAATCACAAACTAATTCATGAGTAGCATATGACCACAAGAAGTGTTAAAACTAAGAGTGCTTCAGAGCCCAGCATGATGGCTCAATGGCTAAATCTGCTAAATCCTCACCTTGCAAGCAATAGGATCCCACATGGGTGCTGATTCCTGTCCCTGGTTGCTCCACTTCCCATTTAGCTCCATGATTGTAGCCTGGGAAAGCAGTAGAGGATGTCCCAAAGCCTTGGGATCCTGCACCTATATAGGAGACCTGGAAGAAGTTCCTGGTACCTAGCTTCAGTTCAGATCAGTTCCAGCCGCTGCAGCCATTTGGGTAGTGAATCAGTGGATTCTTCTCTTTTTCGCTCCATAAATCTGGTCTATTTTTTTCAATAAAAATAAATCTTTTTTTAAAAAGTGCTTCCCACTGAATTAAAGTAAATAAAATAACACAAATATTTTTGAAAAATAAGTGACAAATATTTTCCAAAGAAAAATTGAGATACACTAACACAGCATATCCTCAAGAAAATTCAAGCTAAAAAATGCTTTAAATGATATAAATAATGTTAAAATCCTATTACATTTAGTAGTTACAAGGGATAAACAATCTAAAACCAAATATGTGATTATATTATAATCTGATAGCATACATAAAAAACATATGACATCAGTTTACACAAAAGCATAGGATGGAATAATTGCAATAGAATACTGTTTTAACATCAACATATTAAATACAAAGTAGCATAATAGAAATTCAAGATAGACCAGTCAATTAGATATATATGTTGAAATAGCACAGAACACACATGAAATGGGATCACAAAAAACTCATTCTTTAAAAAAAAAGCATCAAATCTAGGATTATTAAAGAAAGAAATGGAGCAAATAAAGAACCTAGGACTTGGAATGATAACTCAGTTGGAAAATAACCCCTCCACTCCCCGATCACCAGGATCCCATATGAGTACAGTGAAAGAGGTCCCAAAGCACTGGGACCCTGAGCCCGGTAGGGAGACCTGGAAGAAGTTCCTGGCTTCTGGTTGGCTCAGTTTTGGATTTTGTAACCATTTGGTGTGTGAGCCAGCAGATGGAAGAGTTTCCTCTGTCTCTTCTCTGTAAATCTGCCTTTCCAGTAAAAATAAATACATCTTTAAAAATAAAACGTCTAGCAAAATGAGAGATCTAAACTGAACAATGCCAACAGTTATATTAAACGTAGATAGTTAAAACACATCAATTTGAAATGAAATGCTGTCAGATTAAAAAGTAAGGCTGAGTTACGCATTATGTGCAAGAAATGCAATCACAAAATAGGTGTAAAGAACAGAAAAGCCTGTATCATGCCGATACTAGTCCAAAGAAAGCTGGAGTAAGTATCAAAGCATCAAAGTAGAGTCTAGAATATTACCAAGATAAAAATGGTGTGTTGCATAATGACAAAGAGATCAAAGCACCAAGAAGAAGCATAGTTCTAAAGTGTAAATGCATTTTCAACAGCATACATGGAATTTCAAACCACATTCAGTAAAAACTGATGAAAATGAAAGCGAAAACTTCCAAATCCAGGCCTCAAGGCTTCAGGGTTACTCGCTTTTATCGAAAGTGCATTATCAGTAGACAAAATTCAAGAGAAAAGTAAGTATTAGTGAAATCTGAGAAACAGCCTCCAGCATGTTAGAAAAATTTATAGAATAAGCTTCCCAACAATAATACACAGTTATTCCAAGGGCACATGAACACTCAGCAAGTCAGAACAAATTCAGGGTAATGAAACCAGCTTTAACTAAGTTTTTAAAACTAATGTGATACAAGCTATGTGCTCAGACCACAATAGAATGAAACAAGATATCAAGCACAGAAAAATGTTCAAAATATCCCCATATTAATAATTTTAGATAATTAAATAGTCAATGCATGAAAGAAGAAATAAAAAGGATAATTAGGAACTTTTTATCTTAACAAAATAATGGTAGAACATATTAATATTTATTGGACATAGAGAGAAAAATTCAACCTTAAATGATACTAGAAACAAGAATTAGATTAGATGTAAGAAGCAGATAGTAGCAGAATTCAATGAAATTGGATTAAAACAAATTCTGAAACTGCCCATTTTCCAGCTACAAAGTAAGAACAGCAGCCATATCTGTCTCCAAAAGTTGATACAACATGTCCTGTTGTTGTTCCACCATTGCTTATTATTTGATGATTATCAAATGGACACTGAGCTCACAACCTAGGGTTCAAGGATCAACTTACAGCACAGTCACTCTCCTGCAAAAGGTTACAACCTCTTGAGTAAGCAGGCTCTGAATAGACAAATGAACACCAGTGCCTCACCATCATTTGATGTCAAAACACCTGCATAATTAACCAGAGTGCCACACCTGTTAGGCCAATAGCACATTAATTTCAAATACAACTCAACATTGGCAAAAATTGTCTAACACAGTAATAAAATTCAATACAAAAGGAATACATGCAATTTTCAGTCCAAATATTTCTAGAATTATTTCTAGATTTATTTCTCTTTATTGGAAAAGCAGATATACAGAGAGAAGAGATACAGACAGGAAGATCTTCCACGTACTGGTTCACTCCCCAAATGAATGCAATGGCTGGAGCTAAGCTAATCCAAAGGCAGGTGTCAGAAACTTCTTCTGGGTCTCCCAAACAGGTGCAAGGTCCCAAGGCTTTGGGATATCCTCTACTGCTTTCCCAGGTTACAAGCAGGGAGCTAAATGGGAAATGGAACAACCAGGGACAGCAATCAGCCCCAATAATGGGATCCCAGTGGTGAGGATTAACTTACTGAGCCATCACGCTGGGCCCCAGAATTATTTCTATGGATAATTTCAAACACTTAAAATAACAATTTTTTGTAGTTTAATAGGATAGAAAAACTATTAACCCACTTAATTTTCACCAGTATATCCTAAAATGTCAATATCTCCAGTGAGACGACCCTATATTCAAAATGCTACTGACAACAATTGCTGGTGTGGATGTAGAAAGAAACGTATACTCCTTCGCTGCTGGCGGGAGTGTAGGCTAGTACAACCAGGATGGAAGTGAGTATAGCAAGTGCTAAGAGAACTGAAATTTGATCTGCGGTGTGACCCAGTTGTCCCACTGCTGGGAATAGACCCAAACAAAATGAAATCTGTATATGAGAAAGGGATCTGTAAAACTCTATTTACAGCAACACAATAACAAAAACAGGAAAACAACCCAGACACCCATCAAAAAAGGAGTGGTACATTTACTCCACGTGATACTCCTCAGCCATTAAAAAAGAATGACATTCTACCATTTACAAGCAAACGGTTCCAACTGGAGACCATTATGCTCAACAAAATCAGTCAATTCAAAGACAAGTATCACATGTTCTCTCTGCTACAAGGCAACCTACAGGTAAAATATAATATCAGTAGCCTTTTTAGTACTGTTTTTGCTATATCCCATGGGTTTTGATTTTCATTTCTTCAAAATATTTTTCTCATTAATTTCTCCACAGACTCATAGGTCATACAATAGCATCATTCTCTTCAAGAAGGTTTTTATTTTCTTTTTTATTTCTTCAGTGACACATTGATCATTCAGTAGAATGTTATTTATCTTCATGTTGTTGTTAATTTTCTACTCTTTTCTTCCTGCTGTTGATTTTGTTTTATGGCTTTTTATTAACAGGATGTACAGTAACTGTATAATAGAGACTATCACATTCAGATGTGAGGATACAATGCAGTAGACATCTCTTTCCAAATCAAAAATGGACTCCCAATTAAACTGTTAAAGACATCCTGATAATAAGATGGTGGACTCTCTGCCATTGTCCATACCTACAATGTCAGGAAAAACTTAAGAGAGCAGAATGATAGACTTAGTGTTGTTTAAGAAGGACCATACTACTATAATAATATGGGGAGGAATCAGTAGGGAGTGAGGTTTGGGGAGGAGGTAAGGGAAACCCCAAAGCCTTTGGAACTGTATCACAAAATAATTAAAAATATATATATTTAAAAGAAAATCTAAGAAAACATTGTACATGGAAAAGGAGACTAGAGAAAAGTCTGCTTGTTCCAATAAGAATGGAAATGATGACATCACTTACATAAGTAATTCACTAATCTATGTGAACTATGTATGCATTAATACTACATAGACACACAAACCCAACTTGTTTCACTTGTATATCCCTTAATCAAGTAGAAATCCCAACATTACAGGACTACAGTATTAGAAGTAGGAAAGATTTATGCTGTAACATACTATAGGCAATTTTACCAAATTAGTAATATGTCATCATATTTGTTTTATCCATTTACTGACAGCCCCAAATGCACTAAATTCTAACAGCATAAAGCTTCACAAGCAGTTTTTGTAAAATGTGTCCTTAGTATTCAAGGCTAAAAGAAAATCAAGCTATTCTTGTTTCAGAGATTTCCTATCCACTGTCAGCTCACATCACATTCCCATGCAACACTGAGAAGTGTTCTTGGAGTGCTATCAACTATAAATTCTGCAACCAGTATGGCTTTTTGCACAGGATTTCACACTGAATAATATAGTAACATCTAGAAATCCCTAAACTAGAGGAAAAAAAGAGAACATTTAAAAAGTTATTTTTAAAAGCATGACATGTGCACAAGAGGCAAAACAGCCCACAGCCTCATTTGCACCACTTCACTTGCTAAGAACTATTGTTTGAGAATATGAACTTCACAAACACGGTTCTTCCAAAGTTTTACAGATTGGAAAGGTTCCTAAGGATCATATCTCTTAATCACAATCCAGCATGACTGAGAGAGATATGAGAAGGAAAGATAAGATCGGTATGATAACTAAAAGTAAGTCAAAATGAAAAATCCAGAGAAAATGATTATTGGCCAGCCTACCTTGATTTTTTCCAGTCCCATTTTGTAAAGCACCAGGACGTTGGCTGTCAAAGCCATGGTGAAGGTCATGTTTTTGATTCTCAGGGCGTACTTCCTCAGCAATGGAAGAAAGTATGTATGTTGACTTCTGGTCATCCAGAGTCTGATCAGATCGCTGGGATATCACACAATATGATGCATTTGCATTTTGGCAAAGCTCAGTGCCCGAACTTTGGGCATATTCCTGCAAACCACTGTCATGACATGAGTCATGTTCCACATCAAGAAACAAGGACCTTGTGTCCTCTTGACTCCAGTCATTGTCTTGAACTTCCTCTTCACAATAAGTTTCCTGAATCTGAATATCATCAAAGTCCTGGTCTGGCTGTCCACTCAGGTGAGAGTCTGGTTTGCTTACGTTAGTAAATGAAGCTGATAATGTATCTCCTGCTTGCTGGAGAGCTTCATAAACACGAGATATCCAGGAAGAGAAAGGCTGTAAGAAGTTGTGCACATCCTGAGATGCCATGGCCAACACCATGGCCAGTTATCTGTAGTCACACGTTCAGTGCCTTCAGTCCTCTACATTGAGTGTGAACTGTGCCATTAGCATAATGGGAAACTAATTTGGAAGTCTCCTTAATGAATATTTCACTTTCAAAAACTCTCAGCTGAAAGAGAGGAAAGAAATATTTTATCTATTAAACATACAATTTCAAATCCATCACCAGTTAAATACAGCATGAAGACAAAAGATTAACACGGGCTTTTAAAAATTGTATTATTTTATGATACAGTTCCATAGGCTTTGATATTTCCCTTACCATTTCCCCAAATCTCCACCCCTCTCCCATTGATTTCACCTATATCATTACAATAGTACAGTCTTTCATAAATATCAGAACATCATCCAGCTATTTAATTGTATCCTGACATTGTAGGTCTGGACAATGGCAGAGAGTCCAGCATCCAATTGTCAAGATATGTGTAACACAGTTTCATTGGGAGTTCATCTTTGATTTGGAAGTAGAGATGCATACTGCTTTGTATCTTCACATCTGGATATGATAGTCTCTATTACACAGTTACTGTATATACTGCTAAATGAAAAGCCATAAAACAAAATCAACAGCAGGAAGAAAAAATAGAAAATTAATAACAACAACATGAAGTCTAAATGTAGATTTTAAGATTTATTTCACTTTTATCTGAAATCTATTTTACAGAGAGAAAAGAGAGAGAGAATCTTCCATCTGCTGGTTCCCACTCCTCAAAAGGCTGTAACGGCTAGAGCTGAACTGATCCAAAGCCAGGAGTAAGGAGCTTCACTTCTTCCAGGTCTCCCATACGGGTGCAGGGGCCCAAGTGCTTAAACAACCCTGCTCTGCTTTCCCAGGCTAGAAGCTGGGAGCTGGTTCAGAAAAGGATTAGCTAAATAAGACAGGAACCAACACTTACATGGGATGCTGATGCAGCAGGAGGATTAGCTGGCTATGCCATCAACCCAGCCCCTACTGTAGATTATTTTAATACTTATTTCTCTACATGGACATGTGCTAAGCTTCATCAGGAGAACTGAGTCCGAGGCACATGTATTTAGAGAAGTTCATCCCCTATAGACTATATTTAGTATGAAGTACATACATCTTCATTAAGAGTCAGCTGGCCAGGATATGTCAAAATGCTAGAAAGGTTGGATAATTTCCTAAGAATCGCAGTTCACATTCAGATGCTTCAGTCAAATGAGGCAACTAAAGAACATTGCTTTGGGATGCAAAGGCTTATCCTTTCAAAGGAAATATGTGTTTTGGATTAAAAAGCATTAAACACGTTCTAAAATAGAACTTTATATTTTTATGCAGTTTCTAGAAACTATATTCATTCTTGGGGAGCAATCACTGAAAGCATAAGTGTGGCAAATGGATTACCCAGCTTTCCGGAGACGGATCTCTCACTGCCTTGGCTTCTGTCCCAAGCTCCTGGATATAGATACAGACCTCTAGAACCTGTGCAATTTGAGGTGTGCTTTAATCCTGCAGAGGTCTCAGGATGAAGGGAGCAGCTATAGGACATCATCAAAACCCTAGGACACAATGAAGACTATGAAGACCTGAATTAAATGCCTGTGTTTTTATATGTATACATATGCATGAGTACAGATATTCTGGGTGCATATATATATCTTATTGCTATTCCACTTCTCATCAACATTTCAGAACGGATGTTACAAATGACTGCAACACGTAAACTTACTGCCTGAATTTGATTATCTTATTACTTTCATAGCAGTATTTTCCTTCTAACTGAATCCTGTAGCAAAATCCCTTAGGTTTTAGCCCTCCTCGATGACAGGGTATTTTGTTTGACATGACAGCTCCCACTCTCCCCAGAATTTCTTCTTAGACGTGTGTAGACACATGGATTCATTCAATAAGCAAATATTGATTAATGCTGAATTCTGGGGACAATGCCAGATACAAGATAATCCTTGGGGCTCTATTTCTGTGGATCCCATGTTTCAGTTAAAGGGGATGAACTGCCTTTATTCCCTCCTCATCACACCCCTTGCCTCAGCCTGCTAATGAAATAATTTGTCTTTTCATCTCTTCCTGGCATTTCCATTAACTATATACAGATTCCAAAGGTTTGTGGGAAATTAAAAGACACTTATTTTCATCCAAAACATTTTGAAATTTGTAGCATTATCATAACATATATTTTCCAAGGACTTTTTGAAGGCACCTCACATGGATTTCATACTTTTGTGCCAAAATAAGCGCATATTTTAATTCAATTTTCCACCAACTTTTCAATATCTCCTCTTTAATGCAACCATTCATCATCCTGTGGCCTTTCTTCCTTCAGTAAACGCCAGCAGAGGGAATGGCCAATTCCTAAGACTGCATTTTACCTCTTTAGAACTCCAAACCACATACTTCCAGCCCTTTACTCAATAATTCTTTCCAGACTAGTTAAACCAGTGATTTGCAAACTTTCATGTGTCAATATCAACCATAAAACAATGAGAGCCATCAGGGCAGTGCAGGCATTTGATCTGATGGCTAAGGCGCTGTATGGGACACCCACATCCCACAGACGAGTACTGGAAATCAAGTCCCTGCTCCACTCCCAATTCCAGCTTCCTGTTAATGTGCATCCTTGGCGGGGAGGCGGCAGTGATGGCGCAAACACCTGGCTCCTGTCACCCATCTGGGGGACTAGGATTGAGTTCTGGGCTCCTGGCTCCAGTCTGGCACTGCCCCAGGTGTAGGGGCTTGGGAAGTCAAGTAGCAGATTTGAGTGCACACTCTCTGTTACTCACTCTCCCCTCTTCCACGTCTCAAATTTATTAACAACAACAACAACAAAATAATTTAAAAATTTAAAATACACATATGTCCAGACTCGTTGAAGAAGTAGGCCTGGCCTTGACTTCTGTTCCTCACGTGTATTATGTATTCAACAAATATTAGTGAATTAAACTGACTCAGAGTAAGTTCAAACGATATTAAGCAATGTTATCACACGAATCCCTTTCTTGGTAACATCTCAGTTTCTTTCAGTTTCTGTCCCACCCATTTTGCCACACAAAGATTTCTGTGGAATTACCTTCCTCCACAAATATTCTGTATAAACTAACATGTTTCAGAGCATATAAACCCAGAAGGTTCTTTAAGTTTCATCAACCACAAAGTTCAGAGCTCCATTTTTCATCCTGAGTAGCCAGCAACACGATGGGAACTTGGTCATTTCTAACTACACCTTACTGAGGGTCTTCAGTGCTGCCTATCACTAGCATGTGAAGCTTTTAACAAAGGGGTAATGTTTTTCCCAACTTCTTCTGCCTGCAACATCTTCTCTGCCAGCCACATGGCGGGCACTTAATTTGCTCTAAGAGACAAAACCTCTAATGTTTCCTTAGTCAACTCCCCATTTACAATCAGTATTGGCTCACAGGGATATAAGTTGTACGTAATACAGGACTCCTCTTGGTGTGGTTCGGTATTCACAGTATCCCTCTTCCAAAGTGTCTAAAACTGCTGGCATTACATTTATACTTCACAGCTCCAGAATACACAGGAAGCAGGGATTATTAATATGTTCCCTGAATGAACTAATGAATTAACTTTCAATGGGTATGCTTAAAACAAAATAAACTCAATTCTTCCATTATAAACTGGAGCAAATGAATGAGATGATCTCTAACAGTTCCTTTCTGCTCAAAAATCCCAGTAACTTATCAGTTGGGGGCAGAAAGCATTATCATATTTTGGTTGGATACATGAATGGGGAAGTTGCCTTTTCAGGGGCTGATTGTATACTTTTTATCAATATTCATCGTCAAATAATCAGGGAGTAATTGAAAAGAGTTTAAATATTGGGAGAGGAGGTTAGCCTAGCAGTTAAGATGCTGGTGTCTCATAATAGACTGTCTAGGTTTGATATTTACTCTCGGCAACTGACTCCAGCTTCCTGCTAACGCACACTCTGGGGCGTGGGGTGGTGGTGGCCAGCAGATAATAGCTGAAGTAATTAGGTCCTGCTACCTACGTGGAATACCTGCAGTGAGTTCCCTAAACTCCTGGTTCTGATGAAGACTAGACCAGTTATTTAGGAGTGACCCACCAGGTAGGAGTTCTGCTTCTTTGCTTCTCAAATATTTCTTTGAAAGAAATCAAACTTAGTCTCCATATAAAAGAGTGTACCATTGCTACTTCCAAAAGATACTCACAAGGGCAAAGCACCCAGAGCTACAACCTTGAAAATTAGCTAGCTGACAACATTGGAGATCTCCCAAAGCCAGATGGACTCCATGCTAGCACAGTAACCATGAAGATATCTTTGTTCCATAGGCCCGTTCCAAGCTCTCCAAGGGTAATGCCAGATAAGCGCCCAGGTTTCTTGTTCTTTGCTTTCTTACAGCTAACGAGAAGACAAAATTGCTGTTACTGAGATTTAAAACACACACGCGCACACACACACACACACACACACAAACACACACACACACACACACACAAGAAAAGGATAAAGACAGCCCATCTCCCTGGATTAGAAGGGGAAAAAATGCATTTATGTCTTATTGAGAAGGCTCATTCTTAGAATTAAAGTAATTCATCACACTTCCTTTTGAAGAGATCCTTAAAACAAATTGTGTGCGTGTGTGTGTGTGTAAACATAAGATGAGAAGATTTACATCTCTTTATAGTACTCACATAGTAGCTAAGAATTAATAACAATTGATAAAAGAAAATGAAAGTCATAAATATTTCAGGAATTAAAAAAGGTCATGAAAAACAAACAAAAGATGAGTTTAATTTGGCTAAGCCAGCACACTAAGTCCACATGTGTTCTAAAGAGAGTAGCCATGCTTCCCAGGAACTGCCATGGAAGCTAGATCCAAGATGGCTGAATAGAGTTTAACTACACTGGCTTCAGTGACCCTGGGATACAAGAAAAACAATGGAAGGACCATATTTCCAGAGGTCTAGCTGACGGAAATATCTGTTGAAAAAAATGGCATAAGAACAAAGACTTCATGGAACAAGAGAGGAGACAGACACTGCTGTGTACCACTAGCTGCAGGTTGTGAGTCACCGCTTTACCA